AATGGCGTAAACAGTGCCAAACTCTACGCGCGACGTGCGCGCATTCACGAGGCGCTAAATAATTACGATGACGCTTTAAGGGATATTCAGAAAGCATCGGAAATGGATGGTTCATATCAGAGAGAGTTTCAACGCACTAAAGCGAGTTCAAAGAAGGCAATGCGCAAGGATTACTATAAAATTCTTGACCTACCGCCCAACGAGAGCGATGATGCTCAGATTAAACGGGCGTATAAGAAAGCATGTCTACGGTGGCATCCAGATAAATGGGCCAATGCTGGTCCGGAGGAAAAAACACACGCCGAAAAGATGTTCAAGGATGTGGGTGAGGCCTTCTCCATCCTCTCGGACGCAAAGAAAAAGCGCATGTACGACAATGGGATGATTGACAACGCGGTTGAGGGGGCTGGTGAATCCGGCTTTTCAGGGTTTCCGGGGCAAGATGAAGCCTTAATGGAGATGATGAACAGAATGTTTTTTACTGGTGGAGGCATGTCGGGGGGATTTGGATTTAACGGCTTTCCCCAGGGTCGTCGTCAGCAGTATCAGCAGAGCTACACGTTTCAGTTTTTCTAGTTCTGTGCAAATTGGTTGTTGTCTTTTTTTTTTTTCCATTTGCCTTTATTTGGATGGCGGATGAATCTAACGTGGATTTCATGCACGTACAGTAACACACACACACACACACACAAACAAACAAACAAACAAACAAACACGAACACTCACGCATCCAGAGGCCCACAGAATTTTTTTATTTATACCTCCATCTTTTTATTTTGGGTGTTGATACGCAAGCGTTGCTGTCACCACACCAATTGTGATGATGGTGATTCCGGTGTTCCTGGCGTGGGGATGCAAATATCTTATATTATTTGTTACGTGATGCCTTCTTTGTGTGAAGCTTACTAGGTGCCGGCTTAAAGCGTTATGAATACGATGTTTAATGCACTGCTGCTAAAGTCATTGTAATGATTATGGAAGACCACAATCCTTTTCATTCTCTTTTTTTTGTGTGATTACTTTCTCCGCTATTGCTGTTGTATGGCGCGTGGTAAGTGATCATTTTGCCCTTTGATCACGATTTATTTGTTGCTGGAAGGCATACAAACCCACACCCGCCAAACTTGCGATTTCCTTTTGACGTGCCGTCTTCTTTCATTGCAGTCTTTAAGCGGAATTATAGGGACCGTAGAACGCAAAACGTTTTAAAAACTGAGAAACATTTTTTATTTTTCACTGCCACGCAAACACGGAGGGTATAGGGTTTGTACACACCAGAATAGGCATTTATTGTGGCGACATTATTATTATTATTATTATTATTATTATTATTATTGCTGTTTCAGAAGGGAAAGAAGGTGATGCCTCCTCGTTTTCGCATTTGTCCCATTTGTCAACAGGGCTTTGGCACGGCCTCTCTCCCCATCCACATTCCACAGTGCTACGAAAAGGCATTGAAGCGCTGGCGTCTCAATCCTGTTGGACCGATGCCGGTCATGCCCTCTTTGGAACCGGCATCCAGCAGGGGCCGGGGAACGAGCACTGGGAGTTCGGCGTGTGACAACGGCGTGACTGACGCAAGGCCATTGCGGAGGCAGGAAGGGTTTACGGGTGTCCCGGAATATTCTGAAGGGAATATGAATTTACACCCGTGCTCACGTTGCGGCCGAAGGTTTTTATTTGATCGTATTGCCTACCATGAGAGTGTATGCAAGGGCAATGTAAAACGTAAGGTTTTTGACAGTAGCAAGCAACGCACTGTTGCTGACGATGATGGCGGCGTTGGTGGTGGATTTGGATATTCGCATGGGAAGAGAGGCAAGCGTTTAAAATCTTCGACCGGCGGATTTCCGGCGTCTGGTGGTATACCGAAGACACGGTGGCGTGAGCAGCATCGTGAATTTATGGAGGCCATACGTGCAGCACGAGGTGCAGCGGGCGCTAGCCGGGCAATGTGGGGGGGAAACGTTGCGACTTCGCAACGTGTCCCGGTAGAGAGCCGACAACGTGCACCACCTGCTGTCATGAGGCATCAAAAAGGGATGCAGATGCGTCAGCAGCGGACAATGCAACCGATCGAGGTTCCCAATTTTAGGCAACCACTGGCTGGCCGAAGAGCGCCGCCTAGAAGAAGTCATGGAAGTGCCTTTGGCGGCGGCGGGGAGCGTTTCGCTGGGGGCGGCGGCCTGGGTGGTGGTGGTGGTAAAATAATCAACGATAATACAACGAGTCTGGGAATGCTTCAGGCTTTTGGTCGAGCCTAGATCAACTAGCGTCTCTCGTGCTTCTCTGTGTGTTATTTTTGAATTTTATTCTACCAGTCAAAAGCAACCAAACATCATGTAGAGATGATTATATGTATACCCATCTTTTTCAATACGTATGCGTGCATGCACATTTGCTCCATGCGTTTCCCCACTTTTTTGCCCCTCCTTTTTTTTCCTGATAAATAGTTGATTTTTTTTTTTTAATTTATCTGGGGGAATTTTTTTTTTTTGTGGAGGAAAATTGTGGGATAAATATGGATGGAGGTGAGGGCTGTTGAACGTTTATTTCCCCAGGCGGAATACTTTACTGTTTACTGTTTCCGTGGCTTCTCTTTGGCGGATTATAAATTGGGCGTGACGGGGCCTCGGGAAGGTGGTGGGGGCTTTGGGCTTTCCATTCCGCCCACTCCCTTTGGGCCCGGCGGAGCCTCCCATTCGTCAGCGACGCGCGGGTATCCCGGCTTCATGTTCATGTACACGAGGTGTGTTTTTTTTTTTTCTTTGAGGTCACACCGGCCGCTGATGCATTGTTCACTTTGTGTGGGCTGTTTCTGTTCCCGTGATTTCCTTTGTATTTTATTTGATTATCTATATATTTTTTATTGTTGGTTGGACGGCGTTCAAAAAAAAAAAAAAAAAAATATATATATATATATATATATATATATATACTTACGTATGTATGTATATTATATGGATATGTATTCATTCTTAGCATTACGAAGGGTAAATTTGTTGATTTTTGTACCCTTTTCCCTGTGGAGGACTTTCTGCCCCGTTTGCGCTTTTTTTTTTTTCTTTTCTTTTCTTTTCTTTTTTTTTTTTTATTTCTCTCTCTGACAAAAGGTTGGGATATTGTTTTTATCCTGTGATGTTTCTTTCCTTTCCTTTCTTTTTTTTTTTTTTTCTTTTTTCTTTTTTGGTTATTTATTTATCTTTCTCGATCAGTGTGTGTGTGTGTGTGTGACTTGTGAAGAAGAAATCTTTTTTTGAGCGGATTTTCAAGAATAAAATATGAGCAAATTTTGTGCCTGTTGCTCATTGCTGTCTGTCTCTCTCTCTCTCTCTCATGTTTATTTTGTTTATTTATGTTTTCATTGTTTACGGTTCTTTATTTTTCTCTCTTTCTCTTTCTCTCTCCCTATTTTCACACACGTATGAATGAACGGATGTGGAGCTGTATTCAAAACACATTTGGGGGATATTTCTGCTTGGAAACGACATCTACTTGTGGGATGATATCCATTTATTTATGTATGCATGAAATATAATGCTCTTAATATTTACTTTTTTTCTTTTTTTCTTTTTAATTTGTTATTTAATTCTGCGTGTTGTTGTTTCACAGGAATATTAAAAATTATTCAGGTATTCACTAGACATGTTGCGCAGGTCCACAGTTTTTTTTTTGGGTGCGTCCCGCATGCTCTTTTCGGGGGGAGGCTCGGGCCCTACACCGTATCAAGACAAGGCGTACCCCGTACAGCCTCACAGCCTGAATGAGCTTCAACAGCCACCAGATACATGGCGTAAAAGTCCATTTATGAGCAAGTTGATGGATCAATCTCTCCCAGTCTACGACGATGTTGTCACGGGTTCCGGCCGTCTTTATTGGCAGGAGCCTGCCAAGGTCTGGCACTTCTTTGAGGCGGATGACACTCTTATTCTGGAGGAGCACGACCGTGAGGAATGGAACGAACGTCCATATGTTGCAGTAAACCACCTCTACGAGCCGCCAGTTGGCAGCGAGGAGCGGCCTATACGCATTGAAGCTGTAGGCAACCCTGGCGATCAGCAAATTGTGTTGTGCTTTGGTAACTGCGCCCCTCATGTACCGCAGTCTAATTACTACATGATGATGAAGGGCTATACCAAGAACAAGTGCCCCATGTGCCAACAGTGGTTTTATATTCACAACCGCCCATGGTTGGTGATGCACCCGGATTGGACAGATGAGCCCGCCGCGGATGAGGGCCCCGCATACACTTTTGCCGAGATTGAGGCCGAATTTGACCGCGACTTCCACGAGTTTGCTGTCTACCTGAACGCTGAGTAGGCAAATTTTAGGATATTATTGTTTTAATAGGGGTTTGATCTGTATTTTGCGTTTATGGAAGGAAAAAAAGGGGGATTATGTGAGGGAAACAGTGAGTGACTTTCTGTTCATGGGAATAATTGTATTTTCTGTGTGTGATAATCGGAGAGGGAGGGAGATCGAGAGATAGAGGAGGAAGGAGAGAGGAATAAAGGGCGAGAGAGTACTCGATAGTAGGTAGTGTCTCTTCTGGAGGAGCTTTTATTCCTATGGGGGTTTTGCCGTTTATTTTTAGGAGAAAAAGGGAGATGTTGAAACTTTTGATTCTATGGTATCTTTGCTTTTCTTTACTTTGCCGTGAGGGCGGAGTCGACGTGTGGTATGTGGTACGGAACTAGAACTACCGATTTGTGTGATTGTCCCCTTTTCTTCCCTACACACTCTCTTTGCTTGCATCGATTTGTCATCATAAGTGAAGGCCATGTCACTTTACCAGAGGAAGACAATATTGGCCCCGATGGTGCGTGTTGGGAACGTGGGGTTTCGCGTTTTCTGCGCGGCGCAGGGGGCGGATGTTGTGTTTACGGAGGAGATTGTGGCAGCCAAGCTGGCACGTTGCCATCGCGAGGTTCGTGTGCACAATGACGCCGCGGGTCCCATGATTGAATTTGTGGCTTACGAGCTCTTTAAGAACCAGTACAAGCGAAGCGTTGTGTTCACCACACCGGCACGTGACATGGCGAATCAAAGCGGCGAGGGTGCACCAGTAGTGTTACAGCTCGGCGTGTCAGACGCGGCCGTGGGGGTTGCGGCGGCGTTGTTGTGCTGTGAGGATGTGGATGGCATAGATGTCAATATGGGATGCCCCAAAAAGTTTAGTGTTGATAATGGAATGGGAGCCGCACTAATGCGGGACACATCCAAGGCGGCGTCTATCCTTTTTGCCCTGGACGATGCCTTAAACGCTCCTGATAAGTTGGCGGCACGTGGTCGCCGGGTGCCACTGAGTTTTAAAATTCGACTTCTGGAAACAGCGGAGGCAACGGCAGACATGCTGATCTCCATTATGGAGAAGGTGGGCGCCAATCGCGTCCATGCCATTACTCTGCACGCCCGTACGGTGAATCAGGTAGCAGAAGATTCACCGCATTATGATCGCGCGGCGGAAGCTGTGAGACGACTTCGCAGTCATCCATTATTCAAAGAAATGTGTTTTGTTCTTAACGGGTCTGTGAGGTCTCGCGATGACGGTGCAGTTAAAATGGCACAATTTGGGTTTGATGCGATTATGATTGCACGCCACGCGATGTGGGATATGTCTGTGTTTTCTCGACACGTTTCTTCTGCGGGGGGACGCAGCAGTTTGACTAGTGAAGATGCTGAGGCGCCGTTGGCGTCTACTTCATGGATGGATCTGTACAGGTCGTTGCTGCGGACCCACGCGAAGTACTGCACACCCTTTACGTACGTCAAGTATCATCTTACCCGCTCCATTCCGTGCATCCCTGCGTTGAGGCACTTGATGACTGCTGTCCAGCAAGAAGCCACCTGTTATGAAGATTTGGCGAAGATCTTTTCGTTACCTTTGGAGGAACAGGAGTCAATGCGTGGTGTTGCGGCTGTGGAGATGGTTGCGTGTGTTCCCAATAGGGAAGTTACATTGGGTGTAGTGTCTTCCAACGCCATCAAACACAATGATGCGGCAAGAAGCGGGCGAGTCCGAAGCGAAAAAAGCGCTGCAACTCCAGCTGCCAAGAAACCGAGGGGGGAATGACAATGGTGGGAGAAGTACGTCTTATTCCTGGAGGCATTTGTTTGCGAATTCGCTGGACTGCATTCTTGGCTGGCTGATGACTAGTTGTGTATTGTGCTTCTTGTGTATGATTGTTTTATGCTTTTTATTTTTATTTTTTCCGGTTTCGCATTTTTTTTTTTTCTTATTTGCCTTTATATTATATTTTATTTTTTTTCTATGATCCTTCATCAGTCAATGTCTCTCGCCACGCGAGCTCGTTTCAACTGCATCGAACAGGCGTGGGCATACATTGATCGGATCCTGGATGGGCCGGACGGTCTTAAAGTTTTGCTGTGCGATGATGCAACCCGCAATATTTTGTCTGTAGTGTATTCGCAACATCAACTTCTTCAGCACAATGTGGTGCTTGTGGACATGCTAAGTAATCGGGAGCATTACCCGATGAAGCACCTTCATTGTATCATCTTTTGCCGACCATCACCGTCCTCGTTGGCCTGCGTCTATCAAGAGCTGGCGGAGGGTAACTTTGCCTCCTATTCACTCTGTTTTTCATACCTTTTGGAGTCGAATATTGTGCAATCTTTGGCAAATGCCGATCTTTTGAATCTGACAACGGCTGTTAATGAGATTTATTTAGACACTGTGCCGCTCACAGAGTACGTGAATATTGCGCAGCTAAAGCCCACAGCGCTTCGCTCGGCTGTTGCTCCCACTGTGAACCCCATCACATATTCACAATGGAGTACCACGTCATTTGATCGCATGACGGAGGCTATTGTAGGTCTATTGCTCATGACAAATCGTCGTCCGGCCATCCGTTATCGTGGAAAGAACAAAGTCACAGAGAAGCTGGCAAAACTTGTGGCAGGAAAGATGACAACTGTGCATCAAAATTTTCCTGACCTCAAGGCAAAGGACTCGGTCCTGTTGATATTGGACAGGATGGACGACCCTGTTACCGCTCTCGTCATACCATGGACCTACGAGGCGATGATACATGAAATTATCGGGTTTCA